ATGACCAGAACATTCTAGGAAGGACAAAAGAAATGCTACATTTTATCATCTCGGTGAAGTGAAACAAATAAATAAATAAATAAAGCCAAGAATGATTCAATCCAAAATCCACATGGCTATTCTTTAAACTAAGACTAACAAAGAAAAAAATGAAAATACCAAACAATAAACTTGTTAGGAACCAAAACTCAAAATAGCATAATTGCAGATAAATGGAAAGATCAATGAAGGTAAAAGACTTTCATTTCGGAAAAAATGGTAAATGCAGAAGGGAGAATATCTCTAATGCCCACAGAGCTTAGCTCCTACAGAGAAAAGGGAGTTCTCTGCCTAACAGAAAAAATGATTCTCACAATCGTGCCGTCCCTCTTACTCCAAACCTTCCTATAACTGAATTCCACTCATGACAATCACATTTTTCTCTCGCTCTGCCACCTCAGGATTCTCTCCTTGCTTCGTCTCATTTTTGCTGACATAGACTTTCCAAACAGTGAGCTTATTCTGCTGATGTGCAAGCTGACCATTTGGACTTTCATTCTCTAATTGGGTTCTATCAAAACTGCCCCTATATCTTTCACCATTTGAACTTAAATCTGTGTTGGATGCAGAGATAAAATCACACTCGAGCGAGAATTCGGAAAATATATAGCTAACACACTTCATGCAAATGATTGACCTCTATATCTGCTAAAAGTTAGATACATCCATCTATGTGCAAGCATGACTATTCATGCTTGAAAAATTCCTTTGCAAAATCAAAATATGGTTGATTTCCAATTCTTCCATCTTTTCGATTCCACACAGATAATACTACAATAAATTAATAATATTCAGAAACCATCTCTGGTCAAATGGTCATTGATGGAGTAGGCAAGTGAAGTGAAAGAACTTGCTTCCTTTTCCTTCTCCAAGCTCACAGATATTCTTCCTTGATGAAGAATTCTGGACTTGAACGCAGTTTAGAGGACAAAGAAGAGTGAATTCCTAAACTAAGATAGAAGCATCCAAGCTAGAACTCAAAAGAGTGCCTACGGACAAGACTTAAAAACTAGGATTCCTAAGACTAAGACTATGGACTCCTTGGGGTGACTTTGAGAGAGACTTGACTGAAGTGAATTTTCAGAAATCTCATTAATGTTCAAAGTGAATACACAAGGAGGGAAATAGGTATTTATAGGCCATCGACCAAGGAAAAGTGGCGCCAACTACAAAGGCTCAAGTTGGCGCCAAATTTGAATTCAAATTTGGATGTCCATACTTGTCCATCCATCTGCAGCCACCCTTCTAGAACTCCTAATTACATTTAAGTGTAATTTAGGGTTCATTTGAGTGCTCACATGTGCAGCCACTCTTGGCACAAAACATGTGACTCAAATGCAACTCTAATTACTCTTAAATGTAATTACAATTCTATGATTCATGCCTATTACTTATTTCCTTTAAATTCTTATTCTAATAGCCTAAATACAATGACCAATCAAATACAATCAAAATGAAAAATTACAAGAATTAAAATGAGTCCCATATTGGGTACCAAAAGCTCAAAGGCCCATGAAGTCCAAAACTAGGCCTATTAAGCCTATGGCCTAAAAATGCTACTCTATGTAGTCCAAAATACAAGACCAAAATATATGAAACCTATACTAATATAATATATATAAAAGTAGAAGAAAATGGATATCTCAAGGTGTGGCTCATGTAAGGAGCAACTTGGGCCTTCCAAGCCCATTGGGTCCATTGGGCTTTGACTGGCCCAAATCTTCATGTCTAGCTCATTCCTCTTGGTTCCTTCAAGGTGTCACCTCTTGACCTCCTTGGCATGATTCCATCATCCCCTCCCTCTTGAAAAGGATTTGTCCTCAAATCACTAGGGTCTCTATGATAGACATCATCACCTTCAATAATAAAATATCAATCATAAGAGGTGACATATTCAAATGGTAATGATGGAGGATGCACCCTAAGAAAAATCCTTTTATAAATCCTATCAAAGAGATTTTCACTAAGGAAGATAGACTCTCCAAGGTTAGGGATAAGATCCTTACCTAAGCAAAGTCTATGTGTCTAACTAAATCCTAAAAATGTGATAAAGCTAAGACTATAACAATTGAAAGAGTTATTCCTAAAAACTAAAACATCTTGTCTATGGTACCCTAAATAGTGACCTAGACGTTTCCTAGAAAATAAAGAAAATATTACTAGAAAACTTCCTAAACAATTTTGGATTTTATTTCATGTTAGATAGTCATGAAAAGATAGTGCCCAATGGAGTCTTGAAAACTCATATAAACTATATTTGTCTTCTAGGGAAGGAATCAAATTAAGTTCAAATGAAGATGAACTTCCCATAAGATCAAACATAGAGTATAGGGCACTACAAGTTGTATCTACCAAACAATATAAACCAAAAATTGGGTGCTTTATTGAAACAGCTAGGAAAGAAGGAGTCCTAAAAACAGAAAAACTATCTTCTTTGGGCACCTCCAAAGAAGTAGTACAAGAAGTAGAACTAGGCATAGCCCACTCCTTCTTCACTATATCTTAAAGTTGAGATTCTTTTTCTTGAAAAATGTCTTGTTTTAAATTCTCAACTTCATGACCAGTGGCAGCATGATGGAAAGGGTTAAGACCTTTATGAATAAAGAGAGTATTTTTCAATGGTTGTTTGGTGATAAAGTAACTCTCTTTAGTCACAAGTTCTTTTGAGGAAGCATCTTCATCCTCACTCTTCCCTAAGACAAATTTCTCTTTTCTTTCTTTCTTTCTTTTTCTTTTCATTTGTTTTTGATCCTCAAACACTTGGGATGGTGTTAAAAGATGAAAAACTATTTTCCTATTTTTATGAGTGAAGGATATTTTGTTAGTAAAGTCATCATGTATGGTTTTTTTGTCAAATTGCCATGACCTACTAAGAAAAATATGACAAGCTTCCATAGGGATTACATCACATAACACTTTATTTTTAAAATTCCTTATAGAAAACTTGACCTTCACTTGTTGATTCACCTCCAATTCTTCACCTTCATTGAGCCAATGAAGTTTATAAGGTTGAGGGTGAGGAATAGTGGTGAGAGCTAGCTTATTAACCAACCTTGTACTATAATAATTAGAACATGATCCACTATCAACAATGAGAGAACAAGATCTTTTGGAAACTAAACATCTTGTATGAAAGATATTCTCTATTTGTGGTAGTGAAGTAGGACAAGGTTGACTTCCAAGAAGCCTTTTGACCATAAGAAGATCACCATCAACAGGATAAAGTTTTTCTATTTTCTACTCATGATCACTAGCTTCCTCTTCACTCTCACTAGAAGATGAAGATGATGAGGACTCTTCACTATAGATGTCTTTACCCCTTAATATCATAGTCTTTTTGGTGGGGGCATTGAGAGACAATGTGGCCTCTACCTAGACATTTAAAACATTTGATTTCACTTGTCCTTGAGCTAGTGTGTGAGGTGATCTTTTTCTTCTCCACATCTTTTTCATTTTCTTGAATTTTAGAGGGATTTTCTTTAGAGTAATTCTTGAATGAACTTCCCTCCCTCTTAAGATCTTCCTTGGTATAAGATTTAGAGTTGATATTTTTAGAAGATTTTCTATGTTGTTGTTGTTCTGCCCTTATACAAAGTTAGACCAAGTCATCAAGGTCCCTATAAGGGAGTAATTCAACTTTATCTCTTATATCAAAGTTAAGACCACTCAAGAATCTTGCTATGGTCAATCTTTCCTCTTCCCTTATTCCCTACTATAATAAGAAGGAATGTACCTTCTTCTCATAGCACTCCTTAAGTCATTCCAATATTCTATGGGTGGATCATTATGGAGTCGTCTTTCCCTAACCAAGGCTGTCCACCAATACATAGCTTGTCCTTGGAAAGCTAAGGTGGCCAAGGGAACTTTTCTTTCTTCCCCTACTTGGTGACAAGTGAAGATTTGCTCCACTTTCATTTCCCAATCCAAGTAGGCATCCACATCATCTTTACCATGGAAGGAAGGGAGATCAACTCGTGATTCCCTCACCTTTGGTTCTCTAATGACTCTCCTAGGAGTAGGTTGGTAATATTCATCTATATTCAAACTTTCTACCTCCTCAAGGCTTGTGGAGCTGAGAACCTTTACTACTTTTCTTTTTTTGTTTTAATTTTGCTAAAAGTTTCTCTTCTTGTTGCTTAACCTTTTGTATTTCTTCTTCAAGAATAGCAAGTTGTACTTCCTTTTTCAATTCTTTCCTTTTCTTTGGCAAGTACTTCTTGCTTTCTCCAAAGTTTTAGTGATTTAAGCTCTTTACAAGATGAGAAAAACTTTTTGGAGAACCTGAATCATTACCACTTTGAGAATGCCTACTCATGGTTAAGTTTTAAGAAGAATTTTTATATGCAATGCAAAAAGAAAATATTTTTGGGTTTTCTAGGAACAAAACTAAACACTTGGAGGTCTAGGTATACAAATTGCACTATCAAGGGAGGTGAGTTACTAAGAGCCACTTAATAACCAAGCCTTTTCAAGTTGAAATTACTAAACCCACTTATGCTAGCTTCAATTCCACAAAACTTTTCACTAAACTTTGATGCTTATGATTTCTTTTCAAAAAATTTCTTGTTTCCTTTCTAAACATAAGCAAATTAATAAGCTACTCAAGCTAGTCGAAACTACCAAATTCAGCAAACAATAGAACTGAAAACAATAGCTAAGAACAAGAATTAAAAGTTAGTCGGATTCCTAAGTGGAAACTTGAAATCATATGAAATTTTCAAGCCACTTCCACTTGACGAATTTTGTGACGGAATTAGAGACGAATTTTCTTGTGACAGATTTTCCAGCAACCAGAATTGATCTCTAAATCCGTCTCTAATCTGGATTTCTTTTTTATTTTTCTTGACCTGCACAATTGAACAAACTAATCACAGAAAAATGGCTTCTCACAATGATGGAAAGGTGTGATCCTCTTGTGAAGGAAATTTGAGAAGGTTAGGACAAATTTGGTCAAATTTTGATTTCAAGTCCTTTGGCTTAGTATTAGCAATCCTTTCCTTCTAGCTTTTGTGAGCAATGTTTGAACTCCTTGCAAGAGTTTAGCACAACTTCCAGCACTAGATTTTTTTTAATTGAAAACTTGACAAGCACAAGAAAAGAATTAGGAAGCTTATACCAACAAAGAATATGTAATAGTTGACAAAACTCAAAGAAAGCCAATAAAGACACAAAGCTAAAAATTAAGACTCTCAAGGAATGGTTAGCACTCAAAGAGAAAGATCTTAAAAAGGCTCTAAAGTAGATTAAGAAAACCAAAATAATTTTGAAGAGTTCACAAAAAAATTGATTCTAATAGCTAGATCCAAGACTTAGTGAATTTTGGTCTCTTTTCTTCCTTTCTATCCTTCTCAACTTTTTCAAATGTTTTTTATTTTTCTCTTTCTTTTTTTTTTTTACTTTTTTTGTTCTTCCAATTTTGAGAATCAAATTTAGAGAAGTGATTTGCCTTTTACTCCAAAATTCACACAGCAAATAATAATAGAAACCAGATCTATCAAATTCAAAGAAGTGATTTGCCTTTTACTCCAAAATGTTACTCTATGTGATCCAAAATAAAAGACCAAAATATATGAAACCTATACTAATATAATATATACAAAAATAGAAGAAAATGAATATCTCAAGGTGTGGCCCATGTGAGGAGCAACTTGGGCCTTCCAAGCCCATCAAGCCCATTGGGCTTTGACTGGTCCAAATTTTCATGTCTAGCACATTCCTCTTAGTTCCTTCAAGGTGCCACCTCTTGACCTCCTTGAAAAATTCCTTTGCAAAATCAAAATATGGTTGATTTCCAATTCTTCCATCTTTTCGATTCCACACAGATAATACTACAATAAATTAATAATATTCAGAAACCATCTATGGTCAAATGGTCATAAACTTTAATATTATCTTTATATTTAGCTATAGTAATTTACCTTGCAGCAAGAGGGCATCAATTATAATTGAAGGTATTAACCGTATATTTTCTGAAAAAATATAGGCATGTTGTGCATACCAATACTACTCGAAGATGAAAATGATTTCAGAAATTTCAGCCCTATGAATACCCAAAGTCTGTTGATTCAAATTGTGGTTAGAATACCTGTCATCCACCAAATATTGCTACTATTCTACTGCATCACAGTATCACACACCTTGTCTAGACACCACGAGGCCTAGCACAATGGGAAATGAACTCTTATCGAGATTTTATGATGAATTTCTCCTTTATATATGTGTTTCATAAGTTCTTCCCTCCTCTCTCCGAGAAGTATGGGAATCCTAGACTGACTTTTGGCGAGCCCAGTAAAAATTGATTAAAATTTAAAACCTCTCCTATCTTTATAAAACTAACAATGACATTTTCTGATAGATCCCAACAGTCAAGATTCAGAATTGAAATAGAAGAGAGATGGGAGAAGGAAGAGAATCAGAGAGAAAGTCTATTATTCTGCTCTGCCAAGGGAAGAAAGACCCCCTTCATACTGTAAAATCAGTTTATTATCAATTACCAAAAAATGAATCCCCCTAATCGTATGTACAAGGGTATTTATAAGTTTCACATAGTCCAAGTCAAAGTGAGACCTTCATTATTCTAACTACTGCTACCGCCTAGCAAAAACACTTGATAGGCCCTTTTGGTTCCTAGCAATTTTTGTCTCGGGAGAAGGCTTTTTATCCTTTTGGTTCGAAGGAATTTTTGTCTTGGGAGAAGGCTTTATTTCCATTTTTGTCTTGGGAGAAGGCTTCATTTCCATTTTTGTCTTGGGAGAAGGCTTTATTTCCATGCCAATTGATTCATCACACATTAGATAGACAGCTGTCTTCTTGATTGCCAATCCATTCCCAAGAGTCACAAAAATTTTTACCTTGTCTCCAGGTCCCAAATGTGATATTATGCCCTGCCAATCAAATGAAATTACTGTGTCTTGCTTGTGTATCTGCATGGTGCACTTTGTGTAATTAACCATTGAAACACTAACTAGACATTTAGTTGCCATGTTTTCGCGGGTTGATAAATAAACAACACACAAAGTCATTCCCTTTATGCGACAATCCTTGGGCACAGTAAAATACACTGAATGTCCCTCACCCGTATGAGCCAACCAGTAAGGATAATTGTCACCAGGGAGAAAAATATCACAAGACTCGTTGGTTGTCAATCCCTGTAGCATAAGCAAAAAAGCTTAGTCATTTTTGCACTTCTGCTTTTCAAATGGACTCCTAAAATCATTATTTTTGTCATTCCAAGGCATTTTTAAGAAAATAACAACGTAAATAGTTATGTTAATTAGTTCAGACAAAGTTGGTTAGTAGTTTTGTTGTGTATCCATCAACAGCAGATCATTCGGATGCATTTCTGTTTATGTCATATACGTCTTTCAACTTATATAACAAACATAAAACAAGCATAACAGGAAGAAAATGGAAATCAATTTCCTACTGCTTCATATGAGCATGATCACTTGGCTTGCTGAGTATTCAAATAAGGTATTTTTAAATGAAGCTAGGTGATTATAGAAGGAAAAGGTGCTCAAAAATGGTGAGTATTGAAGTTTCCTCTCGATATTTCATGTTCTCTTTGTTAATAGCTAGAATGAATAGTGAAGGTAAGTAGACAAAAGTGAAGAGAATGAACCTTAGATATGCTATCAATGAGAGTATTGAAGACTGCACGGTAACATCCAATTCCAATCAAATAAGACCCCTGGTATTGATTTGAAATTTGTGATGTATCTGATCTTATTTCAAATTCAGTAAAATTTACACCATATGCATCATCCGGAATTGTTCTTAATAGTTTAGATAGTTGAAATTCTGTGTCTTGCACCGAAAGACTACGAAGATTTGAAAGATTTCTAACCGCTGATGCTAGATCACCCAAAATATTGTTCTGCAAATCCATGTAAACTAGATATGATGAAGTGACACTAAATGAATGAATACGAGTTAGGGGATTCATTTTTGGTGACATCCAAGACCAAATGATAGAAGGAAAAACATTATGTGATAATCCTTCATATCCACATAGGGATACATAATCAATGCTTTTTGATCTTACTATTGAAAAGGGAACTCGTGTCACAGCAGTATTTTTAGCAAATAGAGTTGTCAAGGATTCCATCTGCACTATGTCTTCTTCCAATTTGTCAATCTTCGAAGAACCCGAAAGGATGAGACTTTTCACAGATTTCAACTTGTAAACTCTCCTTGGAAGATTGGCAAGACTTTTACAGTCCTTCAAATTTAATAGAATAAGATTGCGGAGATCTCCAATGGACTTGTGTACCTTGCACAAACTAGGGCAATCTTTGAGAATGAGCTTTTCAAGATTTGGTAGTTTTGAAAACTCAGGGGTTTCTTTCAAGTACTTGGAATGACTAAGATTGAGGATTTTTAGCCACCCTAAATCCTACAACAAGATAAATTTTGAAAAAGATTAGAGAAGAGAACAAAAAGTGAAATAGTGGTAAGTAGAAACAATTAATATTTTAATTAACCTATGAGCTTTAAAAGAAAATGGCATGTAATGTATACCTGGGGATCTTTCCAGACTAGTCTAAGATTACTGTGTTTTAAATCAATCGCAATTGCACCTTCCAGATAAAAGTTGTTAGGTATGTATCTTCGAGGAAATCCTTTCCACCTGATCCATCTCAGTTGCTTAGAAAGACACCCATAATCTCCAGTGAGTTGTACATTATCAAGTTGTAACAGTCTCAAATTCTTCATTTTCTTAAAAGCATCAGCTTTGATGAAGAAATATCTGTTGGATAAATGCAATTTCAGAGCCAATCCCTCAATAGCTTTGGTCCCCTGTGATGAAAAGAGCAAAGAAAAATAAATTGACAAATCTGTATTGTTAGCTCACTAGAGAGTGATACTTGAAGCTCCACCAAACCACACATGTAATGCACATCTAAAGGAAAACACTTTCAAGTTTCAAATCTGAATATAAAGAATGTACTTACAGTATTCTTTTCCAATACATAGAGTACATCCCCTTCAAACCACAACCGACTGCGCTTCCCAAGTTCCGTTCTTGAACTTTCACAAATTATTTCTCTTCCCATTTCTTGAAGCAAAGGATGCATTCCCAGTTTGTTGTTCTTTTCAAGTTTTATGAGGCTACACTCTATGAGAACTGTTATTCCAATATCAGCATATAAACCACAGCCATTTAGTATATTAGTAACATAGGCTCTGTCTACACCAATAAAGAAACAACATATATCAAGAAATATATCCTTTTCCATCTGATCTTGTAAATCATCAAAACTTATTCTTAATTTCTCCAGAATTTGATCAAAGGGTGTTATTTTTGGATTTGATGAAAGACTTTCCCACACTTCCTTTGATGTCTGTCCAAATGAATAATAACCAAGGACTTGAAGAGCTAGTGGTAGTCCTCCACAATAAGCAACTATATTTCTTGCAAATTCGTTGAAGTCTTCTCTTGGTTTTGCTTCTCCAAAAGCATGCCAACTAAAAAGCTCAAGGGACTCTTTTTCATCCATTTTATGCATCTCATAAAGATAATCAACTTTAAATCGGTCAAGCAGGCGAAGATTTCTGGTTGTAATGATTATTACAGTTCCTTGACCAAACCATTCACGATTTCCACATAGGTGTAACTGGCTCATCTCATTCACATTATCAAGTACAATGAGCAACTTTTTTCCACAAAGTCTTTCCTTGATGATAGTTGTGCCCTTCCCAATGCTTTGTATCTTGACCTTTCCTTTAAGGATATCTGAAAGAAGTCGTTCTTGTAAACGAACATGCCCTCTACCTTTTGTTTTACAAACTTCTCTAATATCTTCAATGAAACTTTTATCCATGAATGTACGATGAATTTGATTGTAGATGGCTTTGGCTGTGGTAGTTTTACCGGAACCTCCCATTCCCCATATCCCTATGATACAGACTTTGTTGGATTGCTTTTCAATAAATCCAATCACTTTCTCCACGCGGGATTCTAAACCAACAGGAAATTTGGTAATAGGCAAGACTTCGTTGTCTAGCTTAGTAAGAATGTGGTCAACAACTTCCCGCACTAGTTCAGCTTCATTCCTTCAAGTTCAATAATAATTATAAAACAAGCAGAATGGTCATTTATTAAGAAAAATACTTCATCAGTTTCACAATCACCTTAGTTTAAGGTTCCTACAAAGGTTAAGGACAATAATAAATATATCTTAAATATGTTTTTAGTCTCTCAAGTTAAAGATAAATTTATTTTTAGGTACTTAAATTTAAAATTAGTCTTTTTATTTATTATAATTTTTATAAAAAAAAAAAATTTGTTTTAGTCCTTATACTCAAATTTTAATAGAAAACCTGTTAAATATTATCATATAATTATTTTGTTAGAAAATCTGTCAAATACTGTCGCATAATTTAAATGTGACTTAAATATATTTTTAGCCCTTCAAATTTAAGATAAATTTATTTTTAGTCTCTCAAATTTAAATTGATCTTTTTAATCTTATAATTTCAAAAAAATATCTTATTTCGATCCTTATATTCAATTTTTGTTAAAGAATCTCACAAATATTGTTGCATAAGTAAAAATATTAAACTCAATGAATATTACATAACTATCTCAATCTTACACTTATATATATGTTATCAATGACCCAAGGGGTTAAAACAAAATTTTTAAAAATAACAAAAACTAAAAGTAACCAAAAACAAATTTATCCTAAATTTAAGAGACTAAAAACATATTTAAGCCTTAAATGCATTATGTATCTCTTTTTATACAATTTTACTAAAGTAACCCATCTTAATTAGTTTTAGTTTTAATTGTAGTTGTTGAATAATTTACTAAGGGGGAAAATTAGGGGGGAAAATAATCAAAAGTGAACATATCATTCATTTTACGATTTGAGATGTTTTCTAAATGCTAAAAGCCTAAAACTGCATATTAAGTAAATCTTAAGCTTAAAATATGCTTCATTCAGTATCAAACAAAATCAGCGAGAAACCATAAAAAGTATTGATTGATTTACGTGAAATCGCTCTGAACCCAACGACGGAAATTTGCAACTTTGGAGAGTGAACGGCTCCACCTTGACAACCTGATTTCCAGGAGTTCTCCTGAAAACATTTCCTGTTCAGCTGCTTTGAGCGCTTTCACAAGATCACCCTTCTGATGACGTTCATCGTATGGGTCAATTTCGTAAAATATGGGCATAACAGTTTCGTGGCATTCAATGATTTTCTCAAGCTCCTCGAGACACCAAATAGATTGCCCCCAAGTAGGTACAGCATAGCTTTTGGAGAAAACAACTATTGCTATCTGAGACCCTTCTATTGCTCGCATAACCTCGTTCTTATGCTCATTCTCATCCTCAAGAAAAGTGTTGACTTTAGCTTCTAAAAGAGCGGAATGGAGATGAGAAACAAAAGCCCTGCAGATGTCTCCACCCCCAGAACTGATGAACACATCGTATTTCCATTTGGGTTTGGATTCTGAGAAGGATGGTGAAGAAGACGCGAATTCCATCAAAGCACTTAAGGTCAACCGTTGGGACTTGAGAACCAAAATACAGATAGAAATAGAATATCTTTACTTCTTTGGTGCTATCACCTTGCCCGCCTTTGGGCCAAGCCCAGTGGGCCTACGGCCCAGGACTCAGGTTTAAAACAAATTACATACTTTTCATCTTCACTTTTTTAAAAATATTTTATATTTTTAACTTTTTTCCAACTTTTATAATTTTTAAGGATGAATTAGAAGAAGAAAAAAATATTATTTTTAAAATCAATAACTACACTTTTTTTTTTCACAGACGCAGAATGCATTTTTATCTATTAGTTTTAAATAATTAATTTATTTTTATATTTTTTTTCTTCACTTTTTAACTGCAGAAATCTTCCATGTAAGGTTTTGAAATTTAATGTTTTTAAACCCAATTTTATAATATTTTTAATTTCTATCTATCTAATCAATTCGTTTGGTTGCAGTGAATTACATAGTTAATTTTTAGGTTTTTTTATGTAATAAAATTCTCGACCACGATTCATTCTTGTTGTAAAAAGAACTCATTGATTACCATATTCTATCTTTGTATTTTTCAATGAAGAAATAATATTAATACAAGATAGGAGAAAATATAATTTAGGTTAAAATATTTTTTTAGTCACAATAGTTTTACTTACTTTATTTTTTTTGTTTTTATAATTTAAAATAGATATTTTTAGTTTCTTTACTCATCTTTCTCAATCATTTTCAATTTCCATAGTTTAAATAATTTTTTTAGTCTTTATACTAACATTTTTTTAATCATTTATATCCTTGTCATGATTTTTTTTATAGTATTATCTATTTTGTGTTGACATGATATAGATCTTTAATTTTTTCAAGTAAAACAATGGTGTCTCAACAATAAATGTCATGGATAAGAATATAAAAGAGACATGAAAAATTGAGAGACCTAATTTAGAGTAACTCAAACAAAATAAATTTAATATCTGACAAACAAAGTTAAATTAAAGTTCAACAGCAAACTTACTAGCTGCTCCGAGCCGAAGATATTTGAGAGCGTTTTGAGTACTCAACAGCAATTGGTCAAGTTCAATCATCAGGTACGTAATGGCTAACCTGGACATTGTTCATGTTGACTCCTCTGGGGACGAAGAGGAATCTAGGTTAAGGACGACGCCGAACCAGGAGGAAGGGTTTCCACATGTGTAGGAGGAAGGGTTTCCACATGCAAACTTACTAGCTGCTCCGAGCGCAAGATATTTGAGAGCGGTTTGAGTACTCAACAGCAGTTGGTCAAGTTCAATCAGCAGGTACGTAATGGCTAACCTGGACATTGTTCATGTTGACTCCTCTGGGGACGAAGAGGAATCTAGGTTAAGGACGACGCCGAACCAGGAGGAAGCGTCGGCTTCAGCTTCGAATGGGGGCGATTCCGCAGAGTCGGCTTCGGGGTCCGATCGGTCGCAAAGCGGGAATGATTTGACATCGGCTGTGGGTTCTGAAGATCAGCCGAGTCGGGGTG